CTCTGTTACTAGTGGTATTCCACTGTATAGATAAGTTAAAATTTTATCCATTCACTAGCTGAGGACATTTGGATTATTTCCAGTGTTTTTGTTTTAACAGCTTCATTCTGCCATGTTGAGATCTGGATTTCTTTTCATTTATCCCATTTGCAAACTAATTGGAATTCTTGAATCTGTGGATTGGTGATTTTCACAAGTTGTGGAAAATTGTCTTTTCAGATGTTGCTCCTGCTCTTCCCTGCCCTCCTAGAACTTCATTGGATATTGGTTAAACCTTCTTCTTCTATCCTCCATGTCTCTAAATCGTTCTTACATATTATATTTTTGTCTCTCTATTCTCCATGATGGATAATTTCTTTAGTATGATCTTCCGATACACATATTTTCTCTTCCAGACCTGCCCCTGATAGTTCTAGGACCCTGGCAAGAGTGCAGAAGGAAGGCCACATACTATATATATATATTTTTTTTTTTTTTTTTTTTAATTTTTTTATTTATTTATTTTTTTTTTTGAGTTGAAGTGTCACTCTGTTGCCCAGACTGGAGTGCAGTGGCCTCTCCTGGCCACCGCAGCCTCGACCTGCTGGGCTCCGGCGACCCTTCCGCCTCAGCCTTCCAAGTAGCCGGAATTACAGGCGCGCGCTACCACGCCCGGCTGATTTTTTGATTTATGGTAGAGATGAGGTCTCGCTGCACAGGCGGGTCTCGAACCCGCGGGCTCAGGCAATCCACTCACCTCAGCCTCCCAAAGACGCAGGATTACAGGCTGAGCCACCGAGCCCGGCTTAGATATATTTAAAAACAAATTAAGCTAACAAGAAATTAAATAAAATATTCTCTCCTTCTGCCTTGACAAAGGCCAGGTTTGAGCTGTAAAACTTTGGATACCTAGAGCTCTGCTCTGTAGCACAGTGGCACAGCAAGAGCTGATTTCTAACTGCCAACTCCAAACCCATTTCTTTTCTTTCTCAGCTCCACACCACCCTGCAAGGTACATTGAGTACACACATGTAGATACTCAACTTACAAATCTAAATTCCATCCACAGCTCCCATATGAGCCAATTCTTGGCCACCCCCTGAAGGTGCAGTCTACCCTCAGGAGGATGGATCTAAAGAAGAGGTCTGCAAAATAAATTGGAAGGTTTAGGACCATTTGAGCTGTGAATTTCAGGGTCCCTGGTACCAGGAGTGTGGTCTAGAAGGAGGGTTACTGACTCCATGTGATTGACCATATCCTTAGCCATGCAAACTCATTGTGCTAGGATGAGGGCCAGATCAGACTACAAAGTGTGGGGTGAAGACTGGGACCCCTCTTGCCTGCTTCTAAGGGGCTACTGCTTTCTTTAGCTATATTAAACCTATCTGTTGTGTTTTTAATTTCAGTTATTTTGTTATTAATTTCTAGAAGTTCTAGTTGGTTCTTTTTAGAATCTGTTGTTTTATTCATCCTTTTAGTGTTTCAAACATGTTAATCATGTTTATTTATATTCTGGGTCTGATAATTCCAAAACTTAAGTCTTTGTGGGCCTTATTCTGCTATGAGTTTGGTTGGTTGGCTCTTGGTTTTGATGCCTTCTTTCCTCATGTGTTCTATGATCTTTGAGCTTATAGTTCTTGAAATTTACCTATGCAGAATTCTTCAAATCCTCCAGAAAAAAATACATGTTGATTTCTTCCATGCACTCAAGGGCATGGCAAGTCTGCAACAACTTTAAACCAAATTTTTGGTCTGCATTTTTTTTTTTTTTTGAGTTGGAGTTTCACTCTGTCACCAGACTGGAGTGCAGTGGCCGCTCCCGGCCACCGCAGCCTCGACCTGCTGGGCTCTGGCGATCCTTCCGCCTCAGCCTTCCAAGTAGCCGGAATTACAGTCATGCGCTACCACACCCGGCTGATTTTTTTGATTTATTGTAGAGATGAGGTCTCACCAAGTTGCCCAGGCGGGTCTCAAACTTGTGGGCTCAGGCAATCCACTCACCTCGGCCTCCCAAAGTGCTGGGATTACAGGCTGAGCCACCGAGCCCGGGCCAGTCTGCATTTTTATAAACCATCGAGGTACTGAAAGTTAAGCCTGTATATTCATGTTAATGCCCACTTGTGATTGCAAATTCTCAGGAGGAGATTTGCCTCATTTCCATCCCACTCAGTGCCAAGGTTGTTGAATGATTTTCCAGAAGAGGGAGAAATACTGGTAGATTTCTTCTTACATTAAGGATATATTGAGAGGCTTCCTTTTAGAATCCAGTTTAGTGTAGGTTTTAAGATTTGTCTCTTGTGCTCTGATCCTATAAGACTGTGAAAGTTTACCAGGTGAGGTAAATGCCTTCCAGGTTCTACTTTCTTTTGTCCTAAGTATTCCTTGTTTTCTTGACAGTCCATTGAAGCAAAAAGGATGGTATTTTATCCAGCACATTTGGTGGTTTTCAGTGGGAAGTTCAGTTGGGGTACTGTGTCTGCTTTATTGCTGCAAAAGTCTTACACAATCTTAACATTTCTCCAGACCATCTACTTTTCTTAATTCCCACTGATACTGCATTAGTCCCTGCACCTATAATCGTTTGCTCCACCCAAAAAAGTGTTCCAACTGCATTCCCTGCTTCTGGTCTCTACCCTGCTTCTTATCTCCATTTTTCATCCCTCCAAGCAAGATCAGTAGAGTCTCTGCAAGATACAGAATTCACAAGATAGTGCATATGAAAATACTTTAATGAAAGGATCAGTTTACAGAGGGATAGGGAACAATGAAGAGATGATGAGGCACTCAGAGTAGATGTTAAAGAGACAAAGAAAAAAGATAAAGTTACAAGAGCTCAATGAAAACTAGAGCCATGAAAGAAGCAGGAGCTATAGTCATCAAAGGATGAAGCTGTAAATGTGACATCAAAAGAGGGAAAGGGTGAGGAAGAAATGCAACGACTTAATTTTTTTTTTTTTTTTTTTTTTTGAGTAGGAGTCCTACTCTGCCACCCAGGCTGGATGACAGTGAAATGCTCATGGCCACCTCAACCTTGACATTCTGGGCTCGGGCAATCCTTCTGCCCCAGCCTTCCAAGTAGCCGGTGCTACAGGCATGTGCCACCATGCCCAGCTATTTAAAAAAATTTATTGTAGAGATGAGGTCTCACCATTTTGTCCAGGCTGGTCTCGAACTCATTGGCTCAGGCAATCCTCTCGCCTCTTGTCCTAGTCTATGACCATTGTGAATCATTTCCAGATTCTCCGGTATTCTGTGCTCTCACATTTCTGTACTTTTGCCATATTCTTTCCTTTTCCCAAGGCAACTTTCTACATCTTCTTTACTTGACTAACTTCTACTCAACCTTTCAGAATTAAAGACTTAGCTCTGGAATCACCTCCTTCTGAAAGTTTCCTGGAAAGTTTTTCCAGGTGTTTCTATCACTTCCTTACCTAATCACATTGTAATACAGATACTCCTTGACTTTTATTCTGTTAAACCCATTGTAATTAAAACAATCATATGTTGAAAATACAGTTAATACTCCAATATATCCATTGAAAAAAATAAGTCAATCCATCATTAGTCAAGGACTATCTGTACTTAGCTGAGCTGAGTATGTCTCAGGACTATCTGTACTTAGCTGAGCTGAGTATGTCCCTTGAGAAGAAAGAAAAGCATTTTAGCTCTTCTACATTGTATACAATACCCAGCACCATTCCTGACACATGATAGACAATCAATAACAATTTTTCAAGTGAATAAATGAACACTAAATACTTGACAAGAAGCAAGAAAACAAATAGTATAATTATAAAGTTCTTTGAAATTTTAGTTTATGGGAAAAAGTCTTGAAATTTGAGTGACTTTCTTTCTCAAATTTATTTCTGGGATATTTATTTTATATACTGTAGAGGAAGAAAAGAAAGAAACCACAAGCCCAAGGACTTAGAATTTGATCCTAAAGATTAATCCTAGACTTGAGCAATGTCTAGGATTCTAGAATAGTCAGATTTCCAGAGCATAATAAAGATATTGTTTTGGTGTTAGCTTTCACTTTTGCCAAGCAATGCTTTTAAAATTATTTAATTACACTTAAAATAAATGTGTATCAACCTACACTTTTCTAGTAAATTCATATTCCAGTAACGTTTGCTTTCTTCATATATTAAAAATCTAACAGCTGTGGAAAGCATTCTACTTAGTTTAAGATTCCAATAGTATAAAATTATTTCTTTCTAAAAATTATTTGAGAGAAAGCCAAAATGCTATCACACAACAAAAAACTAGATTATTATTTGCTAGACTGATTAATATATTGTTATTTAGATTCTGTGTAAAATGCCACAAGAAGCCTCTTAAGGGCTTTTTTTTTTTAACCTAAAACTGACGTGTGTGTGTGTGTGTGTGTGTGTGTGTGTGTGTGTATCCCAAACTGACGTGTGTGTGTGTGTGTGTGTGTGTGTGTGTGTGTGTGTGTGTGTGTGTCCCAAAAGGTATTCTTCACTAAATGTGCAATGTAATTCACAAGTTCACCGCTGGAAAATGGCTCTTCTTAAAATTCTGCCCGTGTTGGTTCAAATATCTGAGGATATGACACAAACTACATTTTGATCACTGCCCAACGGACAAGAATGCATTAGAGAGAAGCTTCTCATTGTAATCCTGAAGGAAGAAGGCCTTGACATGGGAATCTGGAAGGCCGGGACACACTACATATCCCAGCACACCTGGAGACGATCAGTGACCACAATTCCCAGAATGCATTGCTCGCCGCACGCAGATTTCCCCTGGTGCTGGGTCTTGTAGTTCTGCCCGGTCGTGACAGACTAGATCCGTGGTTGCACTCCCAGCCCGAGGATATTAGGCGTAGTTTTCCAGTTTTTGGCAAAGCGGAAACATTTCAGGCCCCTGGGCCGGCTGGGTTCTTTGTTCTATCTTTCGGCTTCTTGCTGAACCACGGGTAAGTCACGGAGGGGCTACGAATCCCCGTGACAGGGCCCCACCCTTCATTTCTGCAAGCGACCACGTTCTGGTGACGCTATTTGTCCCTAAGCTCTCGCCGTAGCAGCCGCCGCCCATCCCTCTTTGTGTGCATCGGAAGCCGGGGAGCCGGTGGCGGCGACGGTGGCGTTGGGGGTTTAGGCGAGGGACATTACCGGGAAGTTACAGGCGGGAGGACTGTTCCCCGTCCCGGCACCTGACAGGTAGGATGACTCTTCTTCGCTCAGGGCCCCCCGCCTGCTGTGTCCCTCGTCGGGACTCGAAGGGCGACTTGGCAGTTCTTACTGACTGCTTCGCCCAGCGCGCTTTGGGGAGGAGAAGTGGGGGAGCCGGGTGTGGTGACTCAGGGTGGGCCGGCGAGAGGAGTCCACTCCCTTCCCTTGTTGACCCTCCCGAGGCCGCCTGGGGAGCCTAGAGTCTTGTCTGGCGCCCGCTGGCCTCTTTTCCCGGCAGCCCTAGCCTGGACCGCGCCCTCTTGGCCGTAAATCCTGGGGAGAAGGTGATTCCTTTTCTCCCTGCTCCATTTTACAAATAAAGGTCATGATAACTTGCTTTGATAGTGTTTCCCCTCACCGTGTGTGTGTTGAAAAGTCCTCGAACGCGGAGGCTGTACCACCAAACTCTAGAGACTATTTTCCCTGGAGTTTTAAGATCGTGAACATGTCAGTGTTGAAGACTCTGGCCTCTCTGAGGACAAGGTGGTTGGCATCCTCCCGCCTTAGCCTCCCAACTAGCAGGGACTACAGCTGTAGTTCAGCTGGTCAAACTTTGTTGTTCGGTTTTGGCTAAAAATGTACTTACTTTAATGTCAATTAGTGTTGGTATATCTGTCTTACAGCTGATCCTGAACAAAAAATAATGTGCCTAGCATACAGTTATGTCAATAGATGTTAGTATTAAGCTGTTTAGAGATGTATAAAGGGTGAAGTAAAAGACATTGCCTTTTCACTTTTAGTTTGTTCGAATAAATCTTTGTAGATGTTGTATATTTGTTTGACTGACTGCCATGTCAACTTTTTTACCTTTTTTGAATACTTGAAAATGATCAACTCACATGCCCGTCTCCCCCCCCCCCTTTTCTTTTTTGAATCAAAGTCTCACTCTGTTGCCCAGGATGGAGGGCAGTTGAACTGCCTTAGTTCACTGAAGCCTCGAACTCCTGGGTTCCAGTCACCCGCCTGACTCAGCCTCCTGAGTAGCGCGGACTACAGGCATGTGCCACACCTGGCTAATTTTTTGTAAAGATAGGGTCTCGCTATGCTGCCCAGACTTACAACTGAAGTTTCCTTTATGCATTTATTAGCGTATGCATTTTTTTCTGGATTAAGAACTTACTTTTATTCAGACTTAATAATTGTGCTTTTTAAGAGATTACTCCTAAATACAGTTTTCCAGAGGGTAGTTCTCCTAGTAGTCTTGATCTAAAAGCATTTAATACTTCACTTGTACAGACAGAGACATTGAGCGAGATTGCTCATTATGTAATAAAGTTAATATGGAGAAGATGGCTAGTTCCTGGTTCCTGTCTTATTCTTAACCACTAGACTACTTTTTCAAGTAAAAAATCCTACTTTGTTACTTCTTCCTAAAATGGAGGATGAAATAGTATTTGTGTAACTGTTTTTTGAAGCTCTGTTTGTAATCCTGTCTACCTTATTTATTATTCATTTAGCAAGTATCAGCTTAATGTTAAGGTCACTCTGCTGGATGCTGTGAAGGCAACAGAAATGACTAAAACATAGTGCCTGATTTCAAGTGGATTACAGTGTGATAGGGAACATTTGAGGTGTGTTCACAGATAATTGTACTAAAAAAAAAGTGCTCTAAGAAGTGTAAGTAAGCCGGGCTCAGTGGCTCAGCCTGTAATCCCGTGCTTTGGGAGGCTGAGGTAAATGGATTACCTGAGCCCACGGGTTCGAGACCGCCTGGGCAACTTGGCGAGACCTCATCTCTACAATAAATCAAAAATTAGCCGGGTGTGGTAGCATGCGCCTGTAGTTCCAGCTACTTGGAAGGCAGAGGCAGAAGGATCACCAGAGCCCAGCAGGTCGAGGCTGTGGTGGCCGGGAGCGGCCATTGCACTCCAGTCTGGGCAACAGAGTGAGACTCCAACTCAAAAAAAAAAAAAAAGAAGTGTAGGTAATGTGTTACTGTGGATAAGAATATCATTTGATAGTTAATATTGATAACTTTCATGTTTTGCTTATCTTTAATAATACTACTTACATGGCACTTTTAGAATTTACAGGAATTTTCTGTTTGACTTCATAGTATTTTTGTCTAATTTCTAAGAATGAATGCAGAAGTTTGGTAATTGTTTTGATTGGTGTCGTATAGCTTAAGAGCCTCTTAATGCCAACGCATGTCCTCTGGTTATTATTATTTTTATTTTTTAATCTCATTAAAAAGAGTTAGAGTCTCATTCTTGCCCAGGCTAGAGTGCAGTGTCATGCCCACAGCCACCGCAGCCTCAACCTACTGGGCTCAGATGATCCTTCCATCTCAGCCTTCCAAGTAGCTGGAACCACAGGCATGCGCCACGACTCCCAGCTAATTTTCTTATTTATTGTAGAGATGAGGTCTTGCCAAGTTGCCCAGGCTGGTCTTAAACCTGTGGGCTCAGGCAGTCCTCTCACCTCAGCCTCCCAAAGTGCTGGGATTATAGGCATGAGCCACTGTGCCCTGCCTATGTCCCTTGTTTTAAGAGCCAGTTTTGACCTTTGTCTCTGGTGCCCTAGTATATTATTGTGAAAAACATTGAGACATTGTGTTCAGTTTGGTCATGTGAACCTTATAGGGCTTACTTACTGTATGTTAGATACTATGCTCAACTCTAGGTAATATCTATTTCTTGTAAACATTTACTTATAATTTTTTCAAGTCTTAGTACGATATATATGCTTCTACTATTTTATTTATTTATTTTTTGAGTTGGAGTCTCACTCTGTCGCACAGACTGGAGTGCAGTGGCCGCTCCCGGCCACCGCAGCCTTGACCTGCTGGGCTCCGGCGATCGTTCCACCTCAGCCTTCCGAGTAGCTGGAACTACAGGCATGCGCTACCATGCCCGGCTGATTTTTTGATTTGTTGTAGAGATGAGGTCTAGTCAAGTTGCCCAGGCGGGTCTCGAACCGGCAGGCTCAGGCAATCCACTCATCTCAGCCTCCCAAAGCTCAGGATTACAGGCTGAGCCACCGGAGTCCAGCTGCTTCTATTATTTTAAAAGTAGGCTTTAGGCTAGGGTGTGGTGGCTCATGCCTGTAATCCTCGTGCTTTGGTAAGCCGAGAGGATTGCTTGAGGCCAAGAGTTTGAGATCAACCTAGGCAACATAGTGAGACCTTGTCTCTATAAAAAAGTTAAAAATTAGTGATGCATGGTGGCAGGTGCCTGTAGTCCCATCTACTCGAGAAGCTAAAGTGGAAGGATCGCCTTAACCCAGGATGTCAAGGCTGTGATGAGCCATGATTGTACCACTGTATTCCAGCCTGGGCAACTCAGTGAGACCCTGACTCAAAAAATAATAAATAAATTTAAAGTGGGCTTTATATGTGCTCTTTAGATATTATTGAACTACGTGGCATCTTGGGACAGTTGTCTTCTTGAAGCACTAGCTCTTTTATTTATTTTTAGCATAGTTTTTTTAATGTGTGCTACTTTAAATATATATATTTTTATTATTTAATTTTATTTGTATTTTTTAAAATGTTTTTTATTTTTATTTTTTTAGTAACCTCCAACTCCTGAGCTCAAGTGATCCTCTCTAGTAGCTAGGACTACAGATGTATGCCACCATGCCCTGTCAATTTTTATATTTTGTTGAGATGAATTCTCGCTCTGTTTCCCAGGCTGGAACATGTACTGCTTTTTACCAGTGTAATGATTATTTCAAATGATTGTGTGCTTCTTCAGGTCACCAACATGTCGGACAAAAGTGAACTAAAGGCAGAGTTGGAACGTAAGAAACAGCGGTTGGCCCAAATCAGAGAGGAAAAGAAGAGAAAAGAAGAAGAAAGGAAAAAAAAAGAAGTATGTTTGATTTTTTTTTTTTTTTTTTTTTTTTTTTGAGTTGGAGTCTCACTCTGTCGTCCAGACTGGAGTGCAGTGGCCGCTCCCGGCCACCGCAGCCTCGACCTGCTGGGCTCCGGCGATCCTTCCGCCTCAGCCTTCCAGGTAGCTGGAATTATAGGCATGCGCTACCACACCCGGCTGATTTTTTTGATTTATTGTAGAGATGAGGTCTTGCTGCCCAGGCGGGTCTCGAACCCGCGGGCTCAGGCAGTCCACTCACCTCAGCCTCCCAAAGGTGCGGGATTACAGGCTGAGCCACCGAGCCCAGCTTATGTTTGATTTTTAAAAATAAACAACATAAAATAATTGGGTTTTATTTCAAGTACTTATATTTTTATGTAATAATTTTATGATAGTTAACAATCTAGCAGTTGTGACTACAAAGATAGCACTATAAGTCAATCTTACTCTAAAGAAGCCAAATATGTAGAATGACAAAACTAACAAATTAAAATATGATTTTTTTTTTTGAGTCGGAGTCTCACTCCATTGCCCAGGCTGGAGTGCAGCGTCAATCTGCTGGGCTACGGTGATCCTTCCACCTCAGCCTTCTAAGTAGCTGGAACTACAGGCGTGCTACCACGCGCGGCTTTTTTTTTTATTGTAACAATGAGGTCTCGCCAAGTTGCCCAAGCTGGTCTTGAACCTGCGGGCTCAGGCAATCCACTCATCTTGGCCTCCCAAAGTGCTGGGATTACAGGCTGAGCCACTGAGCCCAGCCTGATTTCTTTTTTTTCTTTTACTGAATAAAACTATTTCATTTAGATTGGTGCACTTCAAAGATTTTAATTATAAAAGTTTACATATTTAGTCTGAGATACACATTTATTGTGTATAGTAAGGGATATCTATACTGCAGTAGCTTATAAGAAATTACATGTTTATATAACTTAATTTAGACTTTGAATATTTTGCTAGTCTGAACTGCTAATAATTTGTCAGAATGGTTAATATTAACAGCAAACAGAAATATATATAGTATATTATTTAATTGATTAGAGAATTTGTTCTTACCTCTTTTATCATGAGTTAGTCATTGAGTTATTTTTAGTGAGTAGTAGTTTTGCTAGTACCACAAAGGTGGACCATGTACTTCTGTCTTCTGATGTCACATATTTCATCATATACAGCAAATGTACATTGACCCTGAGATGGAGGTACTTTACTCGTTCCTGCATTGAAATATACATTCATCCCTATGAAAATTCTTTAGACCGACTGTTCATTTTAACCATAGATATGCTTCAACTGACCAGTGTAAGATAGTTTGTACTAAGTGTGTCTTTAGTAACAAATTTTTATATGTGATAATTTAAATAACAGCCAAGATTGCCAGAAATCTCTTAGAGAGTAAAAGAAAAACTACTAATAGAAAAAAATCAAAGGTGCACCTTATGTGTAGCATTGCTATGATATTGTAAAGACCTGTAATTGAAGAATTTGCTAGTTCTGAACCTTTCAGTGGTACACTATTGTAAGAGGGTTGGAGCTTTACATTAGCTATTTGATTAAAAGCTAGCTGGTAGAAGCATCAGATTGGCAGAGCCATTCCAAAATAGTATCTATAACCTTAAACATTTCAGTGTTGAAAGCAAATTTAATTTTTGTTTTCTGAGGGTGGCCATAAGTGGCCTCTAAGGGATATTTATTACATGATTGATATCTAATTTAAAGTTTATAAAATGTTATAAGAGATAATTCAATGGTATTAAACAGTGAGTGTATTAATGTACTGATATGGACAATACATATATTGTCAGCCTGATAATAGCCTGTTTTGCTATTTTGATAACATTTTCTGATGACTTTAAGTCAAAATGGTATCACAGAATACTGTTGCTAACAAAGTTCTCTCCAGACATTGTGTAATAGTTGTCTAGTTGACATAGACATTTGAGGTGTGCATATAAAATTTTTCCCTTGAAAGTTTAAATTTGCTTGAGATGTTTTGGATGATCTGAGTTTAGAGTTTTTTTTTGAGTTGGAGTCTCACTCTGTCGCCCAGACTGGAGTGCAGTGGCCACTTGCGGCCACCGCAGCCTCGACCTGCTGGGCTCCAGCGATCCTTCTGCCTCAGCCTTCCAAGTAGCTGGAACTACAGGCGTGCACTACCACGCCCGGCTAATTTATTTTATTTTATTTTATTGTAGAGATGAAGTCTCGCCTGCCCAGGCGGGTCTCGAACCCGCAGGCTTAGGCAATCCACTCACCTCAGCCTCCCAAAGCGCGGGATTACAGGCTGAGCCACTGAACCCAGCTGAGTATAGAGTTTTATCTAGTTTTGTTAAAGCTACAAAAAAAGTACAAGCTGGCAAATTTTCATAACAAAACCATTTTGTGCTATGCAACAGTGAGTTTTAATTTTACCAAACCCAACCATATATTTTTGTTATCGTAAAAATAAGACTGGTAGTTTAAAAAAATAAAAATCAAAAACTTTCTGTAGGTAAATTTTAGAAAAACATTCTCTATATAAGATTGCATAAAGTGAATATTTTATACAGAAGTTCATACTTTTTCTCATACTTTTTCAACAAATCATTTTGTCCATTTACTTAAAATTTGTTGCCTCTTAAATAATTTTACTTTAACTTTTTTCATAGTGTTGTAATATTTATATGTAAGCTTTTATGCTACTGGGGGGAAGAATGCCATGATTCCTGACCATGAACAGTAATTTTGAACTGTAGATAATTTGAAGTTGATTGTTCTTTTTGTATTTATCTGTTAAAAAAAAACTTTTGTGGAAGCTCTTGAATTACATATGAAAATGGATCAATTTAATACATATCATTTGGACACTATTTACTAGAACCCTGTTGAGAATGATTTTCATTTAATGACTATAAAAAGGAATTTAATCTGTACTCAAAGCTAAGTTCATGCCCTAAGAGTATACAGTGTTAGCATATTATTTAAAATACTTTTTTTCATGCTTATTTGCAAACTTAAGTTTTGAACTTAAAATTTTTAGACTGATCAGAAGAAGGAAGCTGTTGCTCCTGTACAAGAAGAATCAGATCTTGAAAAAAAAAGAAGAGAAGCCGAAGCACTGCTTCAAAGCATGGGTCTAACTCCAGAATCCCCCACTGGTAAGGATAAGAATATATCCATTTTTAAGAGTTAGGTGTAGGTTTTGTTCTGTTTCAACATAGCTAGGATATATAGTGAGTTGACTTGATATAGTTTGCATATTTTCCTTATTTATGTCTCTTAAAGTTATTAATCTTATAATCTTTTTGCTGTTGTGTTTTTTCAGATGTGCTAGTACATGGTTATTTATTCAAAAGAGCTGCAAGATGACTTATAGTTGTTAGCATACACTGAACCATCGTTGACTATTCTTATTAAATCAATAATTATTTTAACAATTGTTGAGGAAATTTTGTTTAAAAAAATAAACTTTTGCATAGCACAAAATGGTTTTGTTATGAAAATTTTTGCCAGTATGCTGTGTTAAACTAAAAAATGGTGATGATTCCTGATCTTAACTCTGTATTCTTTTCTGTAGATTAGAGAGAGACTTAATGAATCATATTATTAGTATTCGAAGGTCCAGGAGTGGAGGGAGAGGCTTATAGCTTTCTGCTTTAATGCTAATAAGGGAAATATATTTGGTAGCTCAATATGGCAGTGATTTGACTTAATCTTGTTCTTTTTCTGGGCTATTCATTTTGTTAGGTGTACTAGACCAAAAAGCTGTCCTTAGTAGAGGTACTTAGGACAATCTAGTTACATATCAGAAAGCATTAAATGCTTAAAGGGGTTCTGTGCTGGGTGCTGTTACATAGTATTTTAGTTTGACATGGCCTTTGTCCTTTAGGGACCCAAAAATTTTTTTTTTATTTTTTTTTTTGAGATGGAGTCTTACTCTGTCGCCCAGACTGGAGTGCAGTGGCTGCTCCTGGCCACCGCAGCCTCAACCTGCTGGGCTCTGGTGATCCTTCCGCCTCAACCTTCCAAGTAGCTGGAACTACAGGCGCGCGCTACCATGCCTGGCTAATTTTTTTGATTTATTGTGGAGATGAGGTCTCGCCAAGTTGCCCAGGCGGGTCTCAAACCCGCGGGCTCAAGCAATCCATTCACCTCAGCCTCCCAAAGGCGCGGGATTATAGGCTGAGCCACCGAGCCCAGCTGGGACCTAAAATTTTAGGGTTAATTTGTTGGCTTATTTCATCTAGTCCGGGGAACAGATACCACAGATAGTAACTGCTATATGCTTGTTGTGAAACTACAGCATAACTGTCCTTATAGCTGATATTTCTAAAACAGTTCAAGATGAAAAAGCTGATTGCTCTTATGGTCTGTTTTACTGTTATTTCTTTTGACTCATTTTCCTTTTCCTTGTTGGTAGAATTTGAAGACTGAAGTACATTAATTTTTGTTTTTATTTAATAAGCTTGTGTTGCATACTGCAGTTTTAAAAGTGAATGAATCAGAACACTTTTTTCTTGATTTCCTTGTAACTAAACCAAGTTGCTTGTTAGTTGTATAGTCTTGGAGTGATCACATTTTTCTGTGCACTAGCTTTTCTTTTTCTCCTGTAGGATTTTTTTTCTCTTTTTTAAGACTTCAGTTTCACTGAACTTACTTGCTCGTTTTTCTTAATTTATGGCCCACCTTCATCTCTGATTTTGGAAAGACCATTCTTTAGTTGTGTGTTGTGTGTGTGTGTGTCTCCATCTCTAATTCCATTTTTCTTCCCACTTGTGCATTAAGTGCCCACTCTTAAATTTTTGAAACATATACATATCCTTTCTGTCTGTCCTTCATGTATTTATACTCTTCAAGGTTTCATATATCTATGTATATATGCATTTTATATACATTAATGGCATCATGTTTTATGTCTTCTTTATTCTGTGTTGCTACATACTAATCTAGTTAGTTATTTCTGATTCATGCATAATATTGTATCATGTACCATCTTTAACTTATCCATTCCCCCAGTGCTATGCACTTAGATTCCTTTTGTCTCTTTGCTTCGCTATCATAAGCAACACTGTATAGGATATATTCTTTCTTCTTAAGGGCTATGAAACAGTTTTTCTGGGGTGTATACCCAAGAATTGACTTGCTGTATTATTGTATATAGTGCTTACTTAAATTTATTTATTTATTTATTTGTTTGTTTATTTATTTATTTATTTTTGAGTTGGAGTCTCACTCTGTCACCCAGGCTGGAGGGCAGTGGCTGCTCCCGGCCACCGCAGCCTTGACCTGCTGGGCTCCGGTGATCCTTCCGCCTCAGCCTTCCAAGTAGCTGGAATTACAGGCATGCACTACCACGCCCGGCTGGTTTTTGATTTATCGTAGAGATGAGGTCTCGCTGCCCAGGCGGGTCTCGAACCTGCAGGCTCAGGCAATCGACTCACCTCAGCCTCCCAAAGGCACGGGATTACAGGTTGAGCCACCGAGCCCGGCTTACTTAAATTTATTAAGTTCTGCATACCCCTGTCAAGAATAGCTGTAAAAGTTTACCGTCTTACAACTAGTGCATGAAAAAGTTACTGTTTTACCATAGCCACATCATCTCTGGATATTATCCAACTTTCTACTTTTTGCAAACCTGGTATGTATAAATGGTATGCCATAGTGTTTTAGTATACATTTCTCTGATAATAGTGAAGTTGACCATCCTTTCATACATCTGTTGACCATTCAGGCTTTCCCTCTGTGCATTGCAAATTTACATCCTTTTGCCCATTTACATTTGGGGTTCTTTATCTTCTGATTTGTAGGCATTGCTGTATATTTTAGGGAGGACTTTTGTCTGTTTTAGTATTTTAGAAAGTACCTTCTGTTAACTTTGTTTATAGTATTCTTCATTGAACAGAGTCCTTCATTTTGATGTTATCAAATTTTTCTTTTTTTTTTTTTTTGAGTTGGATTCTCACCCTGTCACCTAGACTGGAGTGCAGTGGCTGCTCCCGGCCACCACAGCCTCGACCTGCTGGGCTCCGGCGATCCTTCCGCCTCAGCCTTCCGAGTAGCCGGAATTACAGGCGCGTGCTACCATGCCCGGCTCATTTTTTATTTATTGTAGAGATGAGGTCTTGCCAAGTTGCCCAGGCGGGTCTCGAACCCGCGGAGTTAGGCAACCCACTCACCTCAGCCTCCCAAAGGCGCGGGATTATAAACTGAGCCACCAAGCCTGGCCAAATTTTTCACTTTGATATTGTTAAATCTACCAGTTATATATTAAGTATTCCTAATCCAAAAATCCAAAATCCAAAATTCAAAATCTACAAAATCTGAAACTTTTAAAAATGGTAGACAGATTGGATTTTATTTTATTTTGTTTATTTTTATTTTTTATTTATTTCAATATCTTTAGGGGGTACAAATAGTTTTTGGTTACATGGTTGCATTGTATAGTGACGAAGAAGTCTGAGCTTTAAGTATACTCACCTGTGTACATTGTACCTGATAGGTGCAAAATCCAAAACTTTAAGTGTTAATATGACAATCCAAGGAAATGGTCATTAGAGTGTTTCAGATTTTAGATTTTCAGATTAGGAATGCTGAACTGTCAAATATAATGTAAATATTCCAAAATCCAAAAAAAACTGAAATTGAAGACATTATTGGTCCAGACTTTTCAGATAAGGAATACTCAGCCTATGTAACCTTTTTGTTTTTATTGTTTCTTTTGGTCTTTTTTTTTTGAGTTGGAGTCTCACTCTGTCGCCCACACTGGAGTGCAGTGGCCTCTCCCGGCTACCACAGCCTCGACCTGCTGGGCTCCGGTGATCCTTCCACCTCAGCCTTCCAAGTAGCCGGAATTACAGGCACGCGCTACCATGCCTGGCTAATTTTTTTGATTTATTGTAGAGATGAGGTCTCACCTGCCTAGGCAGGTCTCGAACCCGCGGGCTCAGGCAATCCACTCACCTCAGCCTCCCAAAGGCACGGGATTACAGGCTGAGCCGCCGAGCCTGGCTTTTTGGTCTTTTTTAAAAGCAATTCTTTCCTACATTGATGATGTAAATATAGTTTTCTACTTGTTTTTTCTATTCTGTAGTTCTATGCTTCACATTTAGATATTTGGGTTTTTTTTTTTTTTTTGGGTACCAAATTTCTTTATTTGAAGGAATGGTACAAATCAAAGAACTGAAGTGGACATTTTGGTGCAACCTATAGAAAAGGCAAAGGAAACCCCAACATGCATGCACTGCCTTGGTGACCAGGAAAGTCACCCAGTAGCTATGGGGAAATTAGCCCAAGGTTTAGCTGTCATCACTCTCTCCCAGGGTGTGCTTGTCAAAGAGATATTCTGCCATGCCAGATTCGGGGGCTCCCATCTTGCGAAAGTTGGTTATGTAGTCACCCAATTCTTTGATGGATTTCACCTGCTCATTCAGGTAATGTGTCTCAAAGAAGTCACACAAGTGGGGGTCGTTTTTGTCAGTAGCCAGTTTGTGCAGTTCCAGTAGTGACTGGTTCACATTTTTTTCCAAGTGTAATGCACACTCCATGGCATTCAGCCCGTTCTCCCAGTCATCACAGTCTGGTTTCTTGATGTCCTGAAGGAAGATGCGGCCACCGCGTTGGTTTTGCAGCTTCATCAGTTTCTCAGCATGCTCCCTCTCCTCATGAGATTGGTGAAGAAAGTATTTGGCAAAGTTCTTCAAAGCCACATCATCGCGGTCAAAGTAGTATGACATGGACAGGTAGACGTAGGAGGCGTAGAGTTCCAGGTTGATCTGGCGGTTGATGGCGGCCTCCGAGTCCTGGTGGTAGTTCTGGCGCACCTGCGAGGTGGACGCGGTCGTCATGGCGGCGGCTGAGGACGGGCAGGGACGGCGGCGCGGCGGCGGCGGCGGCCTCGAGGAGGGCGGAGGGCGCGGAGAGGCGGTGGCGGTGGTGTAGGGTCAGCCGGGGCGAGAGACGAGCGCCGGGTTCCGTCCAAGCACTGTTGAAGCAGGAAGCCACGGCGACTCTCGGCGCATGACGTCTGGGTTATATTTTTAAAAATAGTATGAGGTAGGGATCCAACCTGTATTTTCTCTATGTAGTTAGTTATTTTTCTTAATACTAATTATTAGTCTATTTTCTCCCCTACTGATACCTGATACTGCCTTTGTCATACAGTAAGTTTCCATATATTCATGGACATTTCTGGGCTTTCCATTTTTATTATGGATCTATTTGTCCAATTCTACACAATTACCCCCGTTTTAATTACTGTGACTTTGTATTATATCCTAATTTCTGGGACTATAGGAAGTTACCATCTGTTCCTCTTTTTCAAAATAGACTTAGCCTCACAAACATTTTTCTTTTCCTCAAAAAAATTAGTTTGTTTTTTCCCTCATAATCTTGTCATTTCAAATGTTGCGT